ACAAGGTGGTTGGACCCAGCAGTGGACTCAGCAGCAGAGGATGGGAGACACACTGTGCTCACCGGAGGCAGCAGTAATAGTGGGTGTGGCCAGGGAACACAGCGGGCTTAGCGCTAGAAGCCAGGAGCCAGGATGGTCAGGGAGAGAGTAAGGCCTGGCAGGCATGGCAGTGGAGGAAGGGAGACACGCTAAGCTCACCAGTGGCAGTGGTGACAGTGGGTGGTGGCCAAAAGCTGTAGCAGGCCTGGCAGCAGTAGCAATGGTGATGGGGAATAAGGCCTGGCAGCAGACAGCAGCCATTGTGTGCTTGCTGGTGGCAGCATGGGGGGCAGCATGAGGGGGATGGTGGGGAGCCACACCAAGCGCAACAGTGGTGACAACTGTGCAGCAGGCCTGTTGGTGGAGGCCAGGAACTGCACTGGGATTGCCAGCAACAGCAACGATGGAAGGTAACCAAGAGCCACAGAAGAGGAGGCAGTGATGGTGGTGGGGAGCTGCACCGGGACCAGTAGCAGCTGGGGGGGGGGAGAAAGCTAAGATAGGGAACGGATCCCCCTGTAAGTATTGTGTCCCCGCTTTTCATATTATTTATTTATTTATATTTACATTTATATCCCGCCCTCCCATCTGCAGCAACTTAAACCTGCTGCTCAAGCCTATTTACACAGACAGAAGATTTTCCTACAAACTTGGGGGACCTCCTAGGTTTGCAAAAAACTGAAAATTAGTGGTAGAACATCTGCTTTGAATGCAGATAGTTCAGTCCCTGGCATTAAAAGACTCAGATAGTAGGTGGGGGGGATAAATCCCCTGAAACAGAGAAGCATGGTTTGCACATCTACAGACACTTCTGTGTTGGATCTACTGGTGGAATGGTGAGGAGACACTGTAGGTAGGCAGCAGCTGGCAAGCGTCCAGCTGCCAAGTGAGGTGGAGAGGATCTGTTGTTCTGCCCTTGAGTTATGCCCTTCCCACCATTGCCACTGTGGCCTCAAGGCTTGGCACAACTCCCCGTGTTGGTTCTGTGACCCCAGGCCTGGCATGGCTCTCCACTGGCCACCACTGCCCCCAGGTCTGTCCTGAGCCAGATATAAGGAGGCCTCCACTGGAATGGGGGGAAGGCAAGTAGCACCAAAGATGGGGAGGTAGAGCCATGAGGGTGGGGGAGAGGGAAGAAAGGAAAGGCAGGGGGAGGCAGTGCCAAGGATGGGGGATAGGCAGAGCAAGGAAGATGGAGAATAGGGGGAGAGGGGAGGAACGAAAGGCATGGGGAGGCAAGCACTGAGTATGGGGAGGATAGGCATAGCAGCAAGGATGGAGGAGAGGGGAGGAAGGAAAGGTGGGGGAATGAGATGCTCCTCCCTGCAAGTTCCTTGTGAGGTCCTGCCTGTACCCCATTATTTTCTGAAGGCCTGGATTGGCTTTAATGCATTTCCTAGCATCTCCCTGAAACAACCTGCAATGTGTTCTATGATTTTTGGTTAAGAAATAGCAGTTTACCCAAGTTTGGGTTGCCCAGATCTGAACATGGCTTTTCTGTATCCAACCATAATATTTCGTTCACTTTCTAAGATATTGCTGGATTGAATATGAAGTTATAAATATGCTTTTAAAAATTATATAGTGAGTGTCTGCCAGCCCTCTGGATATGAGATAAAAACATAACACATTGTTACACCAAAGTACCGTCCAAGTTTCTAACCGTGGAATGATCAAGCAACATTAAGTCAAAACAACTAGGAAAAAGAGGAGGCCACAGAGCTCAGGCTTTCTCCAAGTCCAAGATTTAGCATTTGAAGGGATCTCTGGCAACAGGGCCGAGTAAGACCCCTGCCTGAGACTCCAGAGAGCTGCTGCAAATCACAAAGGACAGGACTTACTTATACAGACGGATGGCTTATCCAGCCTTGCCTGAGACAGCACTTGTGCATCATGGGAGACTGAGATGGCCAACCTACTGGGGCAAGGGGACTAGTCTGGCCTGTTCTTGTGCCTTTAACAGAATAAATCAGCAAGTGAAAATCTTCACAGCATGGAGACAATCACAACACGCCAATTAAAGGCACAGCTACAGAGGTCAGTTGAAATGGTGGCCAGTTTAGGGCCCTGGCGGCATAAGGATGCCCCAGAAGAATGCCCCTGGCATTTGGTTACCAACCGTGTTCTTAAGTCAGGGAGAGCTGGCTTTCTCTACCATTGAGGTGAAGCGCTAAAAATGTAGCACAATTTATAGTGTAAGCACAATTGCTTATACCAAACCCTTGCAAAAAAAATCAATACAGTAAAATGGTAATTAAAAGTAGAATTTGAGCACTGCATCAAGTACATTTTTAAAAAGATAGGAATGCATCACCCAATAGAGACCCAAACACAGATAGAGAAATTTGCAAGTCATCCCTCAAACTCATCTGAGATATACTAACTTACAGGAGAACAAGTATAACCACTCCTCTCAAGAAGGGGGCTCTAAGCCCATAAAATTTAATGAGCTCATTTTATTAATTAGAAACAATTAATGAGGCTGCAAAGTAATGTGTTTTCTTCCCTCAGCTGGGCCACTTTGCCCAAATACTAGTGTTTAGCATGCATTATTGCCATTTTAGAAGTCTGATTCATGCTCTATTACAGGGTGTATTGATTTTTTTCCCTCCAAGTACCTTATTGTGCTTCTTAGTATTCAGGAAAAAATGGGCATCTCCACAAGGCTTATGCATCTCCACCCAATGCAGACAAACCCTGTTCACAAGTTACAGTGAACATAAGTACAATCCATGTACAGTGTATACTTGATTTTTCCTTATTCTCATGTTACATTTCATGCATATACAGCTCAATGTATGATTTAAGCCCCATATTTATCTAGATGCTGGTCCACAGTGAATGTGCATTGGATCTTTCTTACAAACAGAAGTACACATGTCCATGCACGATACACGTGTTCACTGTAACACAGCCACAAGGCTACATAAGCAGCACAACAGAATATTCTGGGGACCAGAAGGTACATTTGCACTCCCAGGCCTGGCCTCAGCAATGAACATGGTTGCACTCTTAACAAGGTCTAGGGTCTGGCAGGGGGTCCACCAGCAAATGGAGAGTTTAAGAAAATCTCTCATTTCCCAGTGGAAGGAGTTAACATATATTAAGCTGCCTTACTGTGAGTCATGCACTCTACTACCACCAGCACTGACTCCAGGCTTTCAGACAGAAGTCTTTTGCAACCTTGCAATCTGTGGTTCTTTTAACTAGAGACTGAACCTGAGACCATCGACCTGCAGCTGAGCTATGGCCACTCATCTTGTGGACATAAATCAGTGGCTTAGCAGCCCCATAAACACCACTTTGAGTTCCTAGATAAACAGGCAGGGAAATAAAACAAAACGTATGCCCATCTCCTGGACAGCAAAGCAACAGGGAAGGCCTGACCACTTGGGGCCTTGAAAAATCCCAACTTCTTTTTTAATGAGGTCATCTCAGCCCTGCTGAAGTCCTGTAAAAAATCTTTTGGTGAACTTGAACTCAGATCTCACTTTAATCAAACACAGTATTATTTCCTTCTTAATTGGATACACAAACTATAAAACAACTGGTTCACCCTGTTCCACAGAAGTTAGTGATTTTTGAGGGAAGGAGGATCATAAAGCAATCATTCATACTAGAGGCATTAGAAAACTCAAAAGAAATTAAAGGCTATCTGAAACCATGTAAGATTTAGGAAAGGAATATTCAACACTCAGTTACATTACGGCAGTTCACTGACTGCCCATGTGTTCCTCTCGCCCGCCTTGGGAATCAAATCTTTTTTATAAGCCATAATTTTGTAAGACACATTAAAAGACGTTTATAACCCATTCATTGGTGGCAGCACATCAGTACCCCAGATTTGATGCAAGGTAGCAATATCATTTCTAAGAGGCATCATCATCAAGACCATGTGTGGAGGAAATTGCCACTTGGGAGTACAAAAATGTGGATGGGGTTGGAAAACGTTGGGGTAAACTTGGGGTTAAAAAAAATCCCAGAGCAGTGCAAGCAGTGGTTGATGCAAGGTTCAGGTCGACAGGACACGTCTCTCAGCAAATGGGCCCAGCAACAAAATCTGAAAATGCCAGTCAACTGTTTAGCATGGAAGATGGAGATGTGTTTATCACCACCAACCCCTTCAAACAGATGACTTGCTTTGCCAAAGCTGATTAGACAAACCATCTGTTTGGTGGGTATGTGCATACAGATAAACATGTGCAACTACATACATACAGATCATCTGTTCATTGGATCAATGGAGTCCACTGTCTAGGAAGAAATATGAAAATATGGATGTGTCTTATTAAAGTTTCCCATTAAACATAATTTAGAAAACAACTTTAAAAGATCCCGTTTGTAAAAAAAACAGAAATCCAGTAAAAACAGCACACTCAAGCTTAATAAAGTTCAGAAAAAGTGAACTGAAAAACGGAAACATTCAACAATAAGACTGTTCCCCGGACCTTTAGAAACCTTGAGCACACTCAAGCTTAATAAAGTTCAGAACTGAAAAACTGAAACATTCAACAGTAAGACTGTTCCCCGGACCTTTAAAAACCTTGAAGACAGCTAAGCAGACTGGAGTTATTTTATCAAAACTATGGACTGAGATCAGCCATATTCCTTATGCTCTACAGTCACATGAGAGTCACAACGCAATCACAGTTCTCATCCTGTCAATGATGTGGAGTGCTGTGATGCTTGGTCCCATTTGCAAAATAGCCATTAGGTCCCCAAAAACAGGATACCCAAGAACGGGTATCTGTTACAAAGAGAACTTCTTCCTATGTTCTTTACCTTCTTCAGAGATACTTTTAAAATAAAATACAACCCTAAGCATACTGATATTCATACAATGAAGATGATTCAGGGTCCGAAATGGAGGGTGACATTTTGTATTATTTTCATTCAGCTTCAATAGCCTCATGGTTTATGAAGATTACCCACAAAATCCATTTCAAAAAAAGAATGGCTAGCTGAGTGCTGGATGCCTCAGCACTTATCTTGACCTTTCACATTTCTTCAGTGGAGTGGGGCTTGTGGCTCACCCCTAAGCCTGCTAGGGACCAGGAGAGCTGTGCTCCCAATGACATGATCCTGATCATGGGCCAAATATGGAGATTCCTAATCCATGGGAGGTTCTTCTTCCTACACTCTTTGTGTATTTGGGGAGGCTTGAACTGCTTGTCTGCAGATGCTCTCCTTCAACTTATCCAGCCTGTCTTCTTTCAACGCATCCCGAACAGAACGGAAGAAGGCAAAGTAGTGCTGAAAGTTATGCATCATGAGCAGGACGCCGGCCAGCAACTCATTGGTCATGAGGAGGTGGTGGACGTAGGCACGACTATGATTCTGACAGCAGTAGCAGGAGCATCCACTCACTAAAGGACCAAAATTGTCCCGGTACCTAAGAAGGATCACATAATAAAACCATAAACAAACCCTCCAAGTCTAGTCCTTGGGTACAGTAAAGCCAAAAACAAATTATAGTAAGGATCTTTCTGATGGCCAAGATTAAACTGCAGGCTTCACCCCCATATTTTAGTCACTACTATTGGATGAAAGTAAGTTCTGTGCCACCATAAAGGCCAACAGGTTTAAATCTAAGGACCCACAATACTTCATTTTGTTTCTCCGGTGATGGCACATTTGAAAAGGGAAATGACTGATGCACTCCCATGGTGAGTGGCCCATCCTTCTCTGTATCAAGATATAGCCACAATCTTCTGTATTCTATAACAGCAACACACCATAACAGAATCACCATGGTGGCAAAGCACTCAGGGCTCTTGCTGTGTCAGAGACTTGTCAGAGACTCGGATGTCCCGGAACCTTTCTTCTGGATGGACTGCCAAGGTTGTTTATTGATGTTCAAAGGGATGTGATATTCCCTAGAACAGCAACTAAAATCTAATGTACTCATAACTTCTGTTTAATTTTTAAAACGACACTACTGAACTAATTTACCTTGCGTTAAGAGTTGGTGAGGACATACAGTTACGGAAAATATCGTAAACACTTTAGCAATGCATTTATTCAAAGAGATGGGATATTTGTTCAGCTGGAACTCTGAGGGCAAAAGACTGCTTAAACAACAAAATCGATTAGGAAAAGAACATATCAAATGCCATTTGAATGTTTTATGACTACCAGCAACTTCTAGTGGATATGCCAACCATGGCTCCTCTTAAAACAACTATCCTATAAACTTAAATGGGATGACTTCAGAATAAATGGACTGAAGACTATGCCTGAAGCAGCTAGTAAAAGAACGTGAAGCAGTACATAGCAGAAGCTGACACTTCAGAACAAACAAACAAACTCTCAAACCTTTTCTCTTTCAAACATATTTCAAATGCAGTCATCCCTTCAGCTCCACTGAGGATTTTGTTTTTTGTTTTTTTATCCTTGCTTTCTTCCATGTTTGGTTCCCCATTTTCTTCTGGGACTGCAGCAAACCAACAGTATTTCATTAATAAGCAGTGCCATCCTATCATATATTTCAAAGCAAGTCTTGTTGAAGTCACTCTGCTAAAAATTCACACTGCCATTTAAAAATATTTAAATAAGGGGTCCCCATCTGGCCACCAGATGTTTTTCGGAAGTGGACAGGGCCAGATGGAGCTTTTACCCAGGAGGGCTTCTGATTAGCCATTAGATATGATTGGCTGAGCAGGTCTTTCGGAGCCGCTGCCACCACAGCACAAGGATCTTCATTGAATGACTGAAGCTTTATATATATATGCAAGAAAATATTGTAAACCAGTATGTTTATTTTAAAAAGCAACCTGCTAAATAGAACTGTTGAACAGTTGTTATTAGAGTTACATATAACCTTACGCCCTGACATTCTGTGGCTGGCTCTGCCTCCTGCGGTGGCCATTTTGTGCTTGGCTCTGCCTCCTGCAACAGCCATTTGGTGACTGTGCCGACGATCCTCTGTCAAAATTCCAAGGTGCCCTCAGGCTAAAAAAGGTTGTGGACCCCTGGTTTAAATAATAATCCTAAGGTATTAAGGGGGACAACTAATTGGATGAGAGCTTGCATCTCAAATGGCTACACCATCTTCATTCTGCTGTCTTTTGGGGACTTTTTTCAATAAACATGATAAAATTCTTCCGTCTTAAAACTGAGTCAACTGTGCAGATATCTAACAGATTGGCGTATCTCTCTTTGATGGAATCTGTAACAGACCCACAGCCAGTCAACACTCCATATTTGAGCTGACAGTCTGTTAGCCTGCTGAAGAGGTCTGAGTCAGGCTGCCACAGCAGTGGTGGTGTTTGTGCGTGCATGGTGGTGGGGGCAGTGGCTAGGCTTAGATTCCAGCTGAAAGTTTTCAGAAGGACAAAAATCATCACAGAAATCACTGTGGCTGGAGAAGAGAATGCTTGAAAAGCCACTCCATCCTCTGGGAATTTAAAAGCTGTACTGGAATCCCCCCCCCCTAAAAGTTAGCTTCTCTTTCCAGCACAAATTACTGGGAAGCACAAGGAGGGACTCTTCAGTCTGTCTTATGAAAGAGGACAAAGGAGCACCGTTGCTCCCCTTTGCACCTTTCAAATCTATATGACTTGTCATGTTGGAAGTGAGGTTTCTGAAAAAAATGTGATAAAAGATCTACTTGTCTGGTTCAAGTTATCCAAGCATGAAAAACACCAAGACCCAGCCATTAAGAAAGCCATCAGCTGCTTTTTCTGCCTTAATCTTCACACTTGCCGTGTATGTGAACGACATTCACTCAGCTTGGCTGAAAAATCCTTGGATGAAGGAAAAGTACAGTCCTTACATATTCTTTTCAATCTATGAAGGAACTTCATTTTTACAGCGTATAAAGACACCAACGAAAACACAGGAGCAACCTGCATTAATGCCTTCAGTCTTTTAAGGAGGGTAGGAAGAAGGTGGAGACAACAGGGGAGTATGCCACCCAAGAAACGGCTTGAGGTGGAGATGAAGAGAAGAACGGCCTTAAATCCCAATTATAAAATACTAATTGCCCAAAGATCTCATAGATTCTATGGACACCACTAATAAGCAATCCAGGTCTTAAAAACAGCATCAGGACCCATCTGAAAACAGGGCTTCCTGTGCCATAAGCAATACAGAAATACAGAGGTGATTAATACTGCCATCCTAAGCAGAGTTTCACCTTTTTAAGTCCATTGAGGTCAGTGTGCTTAGAAGGTCTAACTCTGCTTTGGATGGCACTATAAGAAGCTGAAACACGTTACTCCTAAGGGTGTTTTTACCCCAATATCCCCACAAGCAAGGCTACTGAGATAAATACCGTCTCCGTCAGGATCCGGAAGATAACTGTAGCTGAAGGACAAGGCACAGCCCCGTTCCGTCACCTGGTAAGGGAAACAACTCTCAAAAACATCCACCCCTCTCTCAATTAACTCCAGCACTTCATCTGGCCTGCCAATACCATGGATGAGCCTGCAAAAGATACAGAGGGGAAAAGCCATGGTCAGAAGCAGTCAGGTTTACGGCAGTCTGTTACTTCTCTCTCTCTCTCTCTCTCCCTCCCTCCATAGACCTGTGTGTGTGTTTTAAACAGCACAAACTCATCAATGAAATCATAAAACACACAATAACACCCAGTCCTAAACATCACATAGTAAGATCCCAAAACAATTAAACAAACATCCCTCCACACACATACACAAAGTAACATATTCCCTAAAGCATCTCTCTAAAAGCCTGACAGACAGCATCACATACTGTCCCAAGCACCTGGAGAGCGGGCATCACTGGACTTCATCAGGGAGTTGCTCCGCCATTAATGGATGCCCTGGACACCTTTCTCCCACACCAAAGGGTTAAAGGAAACCATATAAAGAGATGTACTTTCCTCTGTGCAGGACTCAGCTTGTATAAAGGTTTATAGTTCAAGAACCACATAAGCAAGGGAACAAACCTGGGGGTTCCTTGGGCTTGCATGCCCCTTGCCCCTCCCAGGTTGCATGTGTGGGGAGGAAGGTGGGGAAAGGGTTGTAATGACAAACCATGATGTGTCACTCACATAAGCACATGAGTTGCTCACATAAGCACAAAGTTCATGATTTATTTTGTCATTTCCATAGCACCTTCAGTGCACAAAGTGGGGTTACAATGCTGAGGTTGCCTTTTTCTTCGTTTCTAACGTATGGCCTCCCATTTAAAGTCAGTTTTGAGAGAACACAGGGACACCTGAAATCAAACTCCTGAAAGGACAAGCCACTTTTATAGAATTTCATAAGTCAGTGACTGTATTGAATGCAGGACTGGATCTTAAGAGTCTGGGGCAAGTGATGCAACAGTGGGAGGGCTCCTAGTGTCCTGGTCCCACTGCTGGACCTCCTGATGGCACCTGGTTTTTTTGGCCACTGTGTGACAGAGTGTTGGACTGGATGGCCTGATCTAACATTGGCTTCTCTTATGTTCTTATTTCATTCTGTCTGTCCATGCGGAATATTCTCACTCTTCAGCTACCATGCATAAAGACTGATGAGAGACAACAGTACTTGCCAGAGTACTGTTGGTGGGGATGAGCTTTGCTTTATTTTTGGGACCTTTCTAGATAAAAGAGCCATGCCCCCCAAAAAACAAAAAAACACAAACCACAAAAAGATGAATGGTATTGCTGGTATTTTGCATAGTCCACATACCCATTGAGGTCATATTAGCTCCTTTTACTCAAACTGTATTGTTTTCAAAAGCACATTCCTAACAGCCAGCACTAAAACATTCCCCAGGGTCTTGAAAATGCAGCTGGATTCACCCATGCTTCTTGCGCTATTATTAGTGATGGCAACACTAGACTCCGAATTCAGCTGGCAGCTTTGTCAAAGATTTGAGAGGTGAAGAAACAGCAGTTTTGCTCTCCCGCAGGAACAATGGCTGTGCTGACAATCGTATGAGCTAATTTAGGTCAATATGCATAGCACGTGGCTGGAAAAATATATAGTGCAGGAACAAATTGCCATTTTAGTGCTGACTCCCCACCCCTCACCCCATTGTATAATTAAACTCAGGCCTTTGAAAACTTCCAACATGAGTTGTTGCATTTTTATGCTATCCGGTTAACAAAGCAATTATGCACGCAATTAGCAATTGCCAAGTGCTTAACTGCAAATCTTCAAGCAGCATTGAGTTGCTTCTCATTGAAAACATTTTGATGTCTGCCAGTATTTGACAGGCATGTTTGTCTTCACCACCACTATTGAAACTGTCAGCTACCCAAGTGGAGCACAACAAGGACGAAGGCGGCATCTGGGGCAGAGGAAGCTGATGCAACAGGCAAGTGTGGGAGGGGCTGTACAGTGTCTGTGCCACTTGGGCAGCTGCGCAGACAAGAAGTGCGGGAAGTTCATCTCCTTGCCCATCCCTGGAGGACTAAACCCTATCCATCTCGAAAGCAGGTGACCGGGCTTGTGTAGACATCAACCCCAAATGTGTGAGTCGCTGCCATTAACGCCCACAAAAAGCAGCAGGCATTCTACTGCTGTTCACAAGTTTAGTTAGGCTTTTTCTTAGAGGGCAGAAGTTTCCTTTTCACTGAATACAGTCCAGGCCAAGCAGCTTGCCTGGAAAGCAGAACAGAAGAAGGCCTGCTGGAGTGGGTCCAGCCCCTCTCCCTACATCCCTGCCCCGAACCCCTTTTCAAGATGATACCAGCTTCATGCAGTTTGGCTTAAGCTGGGGACAAGGCAGGCAAGTGTTGCAATGAAGGGCCATGGGACTTGGTTCGTGGGGAAGAGCCATCTTGCCACCTTCTCACCCTGCAGCCCTGTCTCCTACCTGTCTGGAACTGGAGCATCCCCAAACCTAGCTGGCCACTTGGAGGATCCAGGTAATGGAGCCATCGTAGTAGGGAGTGCCGCATCATGAAGCCCTATCAGAGGCCGGTGATGCTGATGATGAAGAGCACCATAACTTCTCCCCGCAGCCTGCACTACCCCTGCAGCCTTTGAAGTTATGGTGGTGAAAACACATATCTCCTGAAGAAAGATTAGGTTTTGAACAAAATCCTGCCGAGGGCCAGTACTACATTTTTAATTGTCTAGATAAGCCTTAAGGGTGATCTTTTACAGCCTGCAGAAACAAGTTAATAGTATTCAGTTGTTGAAAAATGTGAGTGCACAAGGGGAGAGGCTAGCAGAAGAGCTGCAACTTCCAAGTAAAATAGTAGCATGGATCTACTAACCCCAGGCAAGCACAAAACAGTCCCTTTTCATATGTGTATTTTGCAAGCATGGCACAAAACTATTGTAAACATACACAGATGCTGCTTGTTTATAACAGCAGGCCCTAAAACACCCCAAAAATGCATCCCACTCAATAGTCTCAACTCTGAAGTAAGCTAATTTCTATCTGTACAACTGACTGCAGACTGTCATCAGAAACATTATTTGATCTATTCTAAGATGTGGCCTTTAACACTAACAGCTGAAGTCAAGTGTCATTTGGTGAACATTTTTTATTACAATGGCAAAGAATGTCAGAACAATCTGTATCCTATCCTATCTTGTATTTACATCCCTTTGCTTTGATAAAGACAAAAACAAACAAACAAAACCCTTGAGGAGTGGTTTTGTGACACGGTTAAGAATCTTAACCTTTCTCCTTCAACCTATTGTTTGATGTATCTCAATTGAAAAAAGCCACTTTAAAATATGGCATGGTTTGCAGTCAGCTAAAAGAAAACACAGAACTATAAAGCTGGACAGTGGGGAAATGAGTGAACTAATCATGCTCTCTACTTTGTTGATGCAAAGATACTCTGTAGCTGAACCCAAAATGGACTACTTTCTCTGGAGTTACAGCTAAGAAGTGACCAAAACGTGATTTTTCAGAAGTACATAATACAATGTTCAAGAATATATAAAAGATTTGCTCTGGCAAGAATAGCCTGAATTGATTATCTGCATGAGAAAGGTGGGCTTCTGATCAGATCTGCACTTTGTTCTGACCTCGGTTTATCTTCTGGCAGTTCTGCCACAGCAGAGGACAGGAGTTCCAGCTTGGTGTCCTTGGCCATGGCATCTCCCTGGAAGCCATCCAGCAGGAAGCCACCCACAGGGCGCTTGGCAGTCTCCTTGGCGGATCGCAGCCTCTCCTCCAACACATCCCCACCTTCAATAACCCCAATCATCACACTCTTTTGCAGTTCCTAGTTTGAGAGAAAGTAACATATTAAAGAAAGATAATATATCCCTCCTTCTGTCATTATACTTAAGGTGGCTAACAGTGCAGCAGTTACTTGTTGCAAGCACATAGAAACAAGTCCATTAACAAGATAAACAAACAAGCACAGAAGCTAGGATCAAAAATTAGAAGCTAACAGAGATTAAAAGCACAAAGGGTAAATATGCCCTTGGGCTCACCTTTATCACGGCACAGAGTCCCAATGGAAGATATTTTAAATCTTCCTTGTCAGTACTCCTATGTCAGTGATATTTGAGACTGATAAAAAGAAAGGACAGTGTGTAACACTGGGGATAAAGCAATGAACTGGGAGACAGAAGAAACTTCTTTATCAATGTCCTTCCTTTTTTCCTTAACTCACAACAAGTAATGCTAAGTTACCTTTATAAACATACATTAGTGATTAAAATGAAAGAATCATAGTACATACAGTGTAATAGCAAGACCATACTCCAAGTACATTACTAATTTTATCACTAGAAATCAGACTCTTGGATCCCCTTTCCTACAAGGGCAGGCCAAAAGAGTTTGGGGGCTTTTTAAAGTTTAAGGTAAAGGTAAAGGTAAAGGTTTCCTTGCTCGAAAGCCAGTCAAATCCGACTCTAGGGTTGCGGTGCTCATCTCCGTTTCAAAGCCGAAGAGCCAGCGCTGTCCGAAGACGTTTCCGTGGCCATGTGGCCGGCATGACTAAACACCAAGGCACACGGAATGCTGTTACCTTCCCACTGAAGTGGTACCTATTTATCTACTTGCAATTTCTTGCTTTCGAACTGCTAGGTTGGCAGGAGCTGGAACTAGAGACGGGACCTCACTCCGTCATGCAGCAACTCGGGTCTCAAACTGCTGAACTACCGACCTTCCACAGCCTGCAGTTCAGCGTCTTAACCACTTGAGCCACTGCAGCTCAAGTTTAGGGGGGGGGAACCCCCAAAACCAAGATGACTAAGAGAGGACATGACAGAAGTCTATACAGTCACACATCATTTGGAGCAAATGGATAGAACTTTTCCCCCTTCCTTAATAATATAAGAACTTAAAGTCTCTCAATGGAACTGATTAGGACAAAAAAAAAGAAGGCACTTCTTCATACAGCATATAGTTAATGTATGGCGTTTGCAGCCGCAGGATGTGGTGATAGCCACTAGACAAATTCAAGGAGGAAAGGTCTATTAATTCTGCAGAAAGGGGGGGGGACACTCCTCCAATAAGGCTGCTTGGCCAACTCTCACCTGGCCCCCTCCCTCTCAAACAACATAAAGGGCCGTTCTTCCTGCAGAAGGGGAGGAAGAGAGGGGACAGCCCCCTTCTGCTGTGCAACAAAAGGACTTAATTTCTAATCATGTTCTATATAGTCTCTGTAAACTGCCTGGACAGCAAATCACTAAACGGTACGTTAAAAATAAAACATCAGACAACATTGCCAATGACGGCTAAAGGAAACCTCCATATTCAGAAGCAATGAAGACCAGCTCAGGGGCGGCAACTGTAGGAATATGTATAGTTTTCTTTCCCTATTTGAAGGCTTCTTGGAGACAGCTGGCCAGCCACTATGGAGTAGATGAATTTGTGATCTACTCCAAAAGATCTCTTCTTACATTCAAAACATGCCTGCTTTTTAGCGGATGGCGACTACTGTTTCCAACTGATTGATTCCTCGGCCCCCTGTGAACAATATATCTTCAAGAGTTCCAGGCTGCTTCTTACAGTGCCTACTCTTTTTTAGAGTAATTAAGCATCTCATGTGCTGCCTTTTCCATTACAAACTTATAAGCACATTATTAATAATGTTTGAATGGTACAGTGAACATCCTTTTTAGGAGGCTGCTGTGCATATCAGCTTCCTCCCCAAAGTATAATGAAAACCTCACACTCCTTTCAGGAATCAGATATTACCAGTCTCTCTCTCTCTCTCTCCCCCGCCATGAAAAAGAACACATGGCAGACATGAATTTGTATTTGACTTAGATTTTTGTTGTGTTGTGGGGGTTTTTATTGTGGGTTTTTTGTTTTGTTTTTGGTATAAGCTGCTTGAGCTTATAATGTTTTCAAAGTTGCACACCATCTCTGACACTAATCTCCAGGTGAGAAACTGTGGCACCAGTTAGTGTTTCTTAGGAAAAAGGCCCAAGGCTGCAGTGCACAAAACTGTAAGCCCTTCAGACTCAAAGAGGATTTGTGCTGTGGAATGCAATAAAATAAATAAAATAAAATAAAACAGGCCAAGCTTACTTTCAGTCCTGCTCAGTGCAAGTAAAGAGTGAACAATGTACTAGAGGATTATGCATGGACAGCTTAATCAGGTATGTCAGTCCAGCTCTGCAGATAAACACAGGGGTCCAGAACTGCCCAAATTGTCCTGCCACTCTGCTGTGTGCTCCAAGCATTAGGTCATCTGTGCTCTGAGTAACTTGCCAGGCTCAGCCCAAAGCAACCGCTGCAATAATGGCCCACCCAGATTTCACTCTCACCGGAAACTCTTCTTGCAGTTGTAAGCACTCATCCAGAAAGGACAGTGATCGATCCACAGACTTCTTGGCCCTCTTTTTGGAGACTTCTCCAGCAATTGTATCCCCATCTGAGAGACACTGGAACCAGTCTGGCTGGAGAGCCCGTTGAATGGTCATGAACTTTGCTGGCGTCATTTCCATCCTCCCGCCAAACCCCCAGATGGAAACTGTCTGTTAGAGACAAAGGCAACATAATGAGTTTTAATAGACTTATAGTCTGAAAATCAATCCTGCAAAGACTGCAGTGATTGAGATCACAGACTGTGTCCCTTCCATGTTCATATTATAATCTACAAGTGTAGCTGCTGGCTTTGAACAACTTTGCTTTTTTCTGTATAATCACAGATCCGATTCCAGTCTGAAACAAGGACAGAATCAGCAAGATGCAACAGTCAAAGAATGCCTCTGTATTATGAAAATGTTTCTTAGCAACGGAGGACTTCTTGGCAGGATTTGTCTCCACCAGAAGTATTCTCTCTCCTAACTTCAAACAAAGCTCTCGTGCTGAGATCAGGGAAGATACCAGTTGATTCAAACCAAATTGCAAAATAGGGGGAATTGGCCAGAAATTCATTATTCTCCAAATAACAAGAAACTAGTGTTTCTTGGATTGGGTAAAGAGGAGGGGGAAGCCAACAGCCAAGGAAGCCATGAAATCATTTGTAATGTTTACCTTGAAGTGCTTCCAAATACATTCTTGATCAATGATCACGAAATGAGAAATGCTGAGAAATCACTAAAAGATAGTCCAGTGGGGACCGTCATAACACAATGAATATCTGTACTAAATGTTACAAAAGGATTTCAGGAGCTCAATACTGAGTTGCTGTTTTCAGCAGCAGCCCCAAATTCTTCCCAGCATAAAACTTCACCCTCAACTCTCTCTCCAAATGAAAGTCTGTGGCCAGTTCAAACTAGCATGTTCTGCAATCACTGCAATGTGTGAAACAGCCATCACACCTAAAACACTATATACAGGTCTTTCATATCAGATCACATAACCTCAAATACAGTATTTTTTCAATGAAGATAGCTCATGCAATCAGCTGATTGTCACAAAATAATTCCATGCATGTGCAAACCAGTATCCAATATCTGCTTCCAAGTGACCATCATTAAAATAATAATACCATATCTCACAAGAACGACATATGATGTTGCTCTGTCCTAGGGTACCCAAAAGATTGTGGAAAAGCTATAAACTAAAATTTTATATTTTATCCAGCAAACTTGTTAATGCAAAACACTTATTTTGGGCAGTGATAGATGAGTATTTCCTTGGGGATAGAGGACTGAATCCTTCCAACTTTTCCACTAGTGGAAGCAGGACAAGGGGTCGCTTCTGACCCCACCCCCAAGACTATGCCAGGATTTGTGGGACTTGCATGTATAGAAAAGTCATGCGGGATGAGGGCTACACAGAAACAGGGAATTGGGTGATATTGACCTGCCTCCTTCTTAGGCCAATTGAAAATGTGGTCAGAACCAATCCATTATCTTTCCACTTTTCCACAGTATAGGAAATCACAGAGACACATGCACTCGTCTCATAAGGGAGCGATTGGGTGATATTGACCTGCCTCCTTCTTACGCCAGTTGAAAATGTGGTCAGAACCAATACATTATGTTTTTACTTTTCCACAGTATAGGAAATCACAGAGGGACACGTGCACTTGTCTCATAAGGGAGCATGTGCATATATACACAGAGACACTTGTTCCATTATGCGATAGCAAATCATAATTTATATACATTTTGTATGCCTACTATCATAAATGCATGTTTGCGTGCACGCACAATTAAATCAGTTTGTGTATTTATACCGGCAATAGTTCCTAGATGATTCTGTGTGGCCACTCTCCTCCCTAGCACAACGCAAACAATCACCACAACATCTCCTTCAGCTTTTCTTTTGTACCCTGAGGAATGGAAGGGAAGCCACTAAAATCTAGTGGGAAATTAAGGATTAAGGTTGCCAATGCAGATTTCTTCCCCCCAATGTGAACATTGTCCTTCATCCCCTCCCCTTTTCTGTTATTAGGAAAATGAAGCACTGTACACCACAGGGTAATCTTCTGTGAGTCTGTTTTTTGTGTTATAACCACCTGTTATTCAAGCACTGTCCTTCACTAGTGTCACACGCAGGCCTGAAAGCTTGAGCAATTAAAGCTAGCATGTGACGGCACGCACACGAGTCAAGCCCATCTGCAGAAAATTAAATGCAGTGAGTGTAAGCAGGCACAGTGGTACGGAGGAAGACTACATTGCTTTTGCTGAGTCTCAGTTTTAAAATTAAGACAGACAGACAATTAACACAGGCTTCATTATGTCTGCTAAAGGAATGCACAGCCTCCTGTTCTCCTGGGGCAATCACTCAAGCAACTATCACTCATATTAATTTTTCCACATCTACAGTTTCAAGCAATGAAAAAAGGCGTTCATACGTCCTACCTTCAAAAATAAAAAACAGAACATTTAGACAAGTACAGAGTAGATCATTAAGACAAGCAATAAACATTTTAAAAAACACATCCAGAGCAGGAAACCAGCCAGAGAAGCAGTGCAGCCTTTGGATGACAAAGAAATAAAGGAATTGCTAAGGGGAGATGGCAGAGAACGTCAATGTGATTTTCTTGCTTCTGTGTTCACTGTGGAAAGTATGGGGCATGTACCTATGCCGCAGCCACTAATTTTAGGAAGGGAGTCTGAAGAACTGAGCAAAATTGAGGTGACCAGAGAGGAAGCTCTGGACCTGTTGGGGAAATTAAAAACTGATAAGTTTCCAGGTTCTTATGGCATACACCCAAGAGTTCTTAGTGAACTCAGATGTGAGATAGGTTATATACATGGACTAGGGAAAAGGCCCGTTGTGGAAATAAATACAATGGCCTCTAGAAAGAAGCTCTGGGCGGGTGCCCCGGCCTTGGACACTCAGTGTCAATTTGCTGTGGTGACCTCAGCAGGGTATAATGACACTGAGTCCACCATTTTCTCCAGAGGAACTGATCTCTGCTACCTAAAGAACAGTTGTAATTTTGAGTGATCGCCAGTCCTCACCTGGAGATTGGCAACGATGGTTCCACAGAAGGGAACAGTTGGTGTGGAGGGTGGAGTATATGGCTTTGTACCTGTCCGAGGTCCCATGCCTCCTGAAACCTCACCCTCTCCAGGCTCCATCCCTCACATCAAACTGTTTAGAATGTTAGAGGCAAAAGCCAATCAAGTTGCATATGCAAACGACCTCTGTGTTCCGAGGCAAAGGCCAATGAGGCTGCATATGCAAATAACCTCTGTGTTCTGACTGGCTATGGGGGGGAGAGGAAGAGCAAAATGTTTAGAATGTTGGAGGCAGGACTCAGGCAAAGCAGCCAGTGGATAGGGAGACCCTCTGAATGACACATCAGAGAGTGAACTGATTTGGGGGCGTGTGGAATGTTCTAGAGAAGTGCTACCACCATTCAGCTTTTATTTATAAGGGAGATTAGTAGATCACTAAATTCAGCTGCTGCATCAGAAGACTGGAGAGTAGTAAATGTCACACCAATTTTAAAAAGGGATCCAGAGGGAACTAGGAAATGACAGGCCAGTCAGCCTAATGTCTGTCCCAGGCAAATTAGTAGAAAGTGAACAAGCATGTAGACAACGATGACCCAGTAGACATTATATACTTTGACTTTCAAAAGGCTTTTAACAAGGTACCTCGCCAGAGACTCCTGAGAAAGCTTAGCAGTCACGGGATAAAAAATTGGTTAAATTACAGGAAGCAAAGAGCAGGAATCAATGGACAGTTCTTACCATGGATCCCACTGGGATCCATGGTAAACATGCCCTCCTGAACACTGGGATCCCACAAGGATTGGTATTCAGGCTGGGACAATTTAATTTATTCATAAATGATCTTGAATTAGGGCTGAGTAGTATAATGGCCAAAGAGTACAGCCAGAAGCCCAAGAGGCTCACTGTGTTTGTCTGCCTTTTAAAACCAAAGTGTCTGAAAATGGTCATGTTGACTGTACTGGAGAAGCAAGCTGGTGTGGTTGCAAAAAAAAAAAAAAAGGCACCGAACCAACTTGACTTAGCTTGGAAGGCAGTCCCTTCCCTTGATTTGGCTGACCTGGCCATGTGGAGACATGTTAGGGTTGTCTCAGTGCTAGACTACTGTATTGCAATCTACTTTGTTCTTCTTTTAAAGACAGCTCAGAAACGCCAGCTGGAATGGAACACCGAGGCCCAGCCACTACCAGGTGCTCAGTGGAATCTATGTATCACTTCCACTCTGCAAACACTTCACTGGTTACTGATTAGTTACCAGGCTGAACTCAAGGTTCTAACTATCACCTACAAAGCTGTTAATGCACTGGATCCGTGTACCTGCAGGACTGCCTCTCCTCCTGTATTCCACTGCGACAACTTTGGCAATCACAGCAAAGCCTCCTGAAGGTGTAAAATGTGCAACATAGAATTGTTCAGGAGGGCATGTTTACAGAACAGGGCTGTGGTATAACGGATCAGCTCAGGATGTGACTTCTGTTAGGGATAAAGGATTGCCCCCCTACAGTTCTTCAATCCCAGCCCCGCTGTGTTATGTTTACTCAGAATCTTTGCCATTGAACTCAAACATTACCATATCTTGTAATCTGCTTGATGACTGACTGAATAACTTTTTTTTTGTACTAAATCTTCCTTGAGTCCTACTGAGAAAGGTGGACTATAAACGTAAATAAATACCTTGTTGTTGTTGTAGCCAGGCGGAGAGATAACAGCAGGGTCATGGAGGGAACAGTACATTACCGAGTCAGGCATACCTGAGCACACAATGAAAAATGTTGCCGTTTAACATGCAGGCTCTGCAGGCAGCAATTCTTTGAGACAAATTATAGTCACAGTTAAGCACACACAATTTATTATTTCTGGATAGAAAGCCAATAGTTAATTGGTTCACTGGTTACTGTAACATTCCAGTAAGCAGCTGTTTCCTCCCTCCCCCTTCCAGGAGAGGGGGGAAATGACATCAAAAAGGCTGCATTTAATAACCTCACGTGTGAGATGTAACCTTTGGATTGACTAATGTTGCTGCTGCTTACTGTTTGGTGTAGTGGTTAAGTGCGCGGACTCTAACCTGGGAGAACCGGGTTTGATTCCCCACTCCTCCACTTGCACCTGGCTGGATGACCTTGGGCAAGCCGTAGCTCTGATAAGAGCTGTTCTTGAAAAAAGAGCAGTCTCTGTCAGAGTTCTCTCAGCCCCACCCACCTCACAGGGTGTCTGTTGTGGGGAGGGGAAGGGAAAGGAGTTTGTAAGCCGCTCTGAGACACCTTTGGGTAGTGAAGGGCGGGGTATAAATCCAATCTCTTCTTCTTCTTCTTCTTTACACAGCAGAGACCAAATGACAGCTGACTGGGTTGGCTCTGGCATAAACACTCTCAGGGCCCCTGACACTTGACAGTCTAGCTTTGGTGATTAAACTACTTCAAAGACCAGAGCTTTGAAGGATAACAAATATCAGAATTGAAGAATGAGCTGTAAGAAAAAATGAATGAAAGACACACATGCCATGAAATGTCAAAAAACGGGATGACGGACACTATCAGGTACTGTGCCTGAAAGTCAAGACAAGGATCCCAGATGGTGGCTCAGACTAACTATATCTAAGGCTTCTAAATGTTCTCTCTCTTTCACAGCTATGAGTACAGTTTGCCAAAACTGTTTTAAGAGACAGTCTTCTGGGCAGTGAAAATATAACTGCAATTCAGTGAGATTTTAGTATCTAGCTTACTCAGCACTCCTCACAAAACACCAGCTTTATTTTCCACCAAATTAAAAATGTGATGAACTCAAGGTAGAGTGCAGAAGAGCATACACATTGCATGCAATTGCTGAGTATTTCTAATTTAAAGATCATTAAAAATACTTAGATTTCCATCTAAAAAAGAAATTAGTAACTTTATCTCTGCTGTAGCTGACCGAAGATACAATAGTGATTCACTGAAAAGACACAGGATAATAATCCTCGGGATTTGCCAATCTCATGACTACAAAACTCTTTTGAGCCCACAGTGCACCACTGCTGACTTGAAATTCATTGCACAGCAGTTCCCACATCCTATCAGCCTGACAACATGCAGCAGCCATCATATACAGAGATGGTCTATTCACGCGCGCACACAAACTGCCATGAAACATCAAAAACTGGGTTTCTAATGATGTCCAACACTATCTAGTCCAGCACCTATAGAAATGTAAAAGAGCTCGGAGCCTCCATGTAAAATAAAGTGGACACTGTGTGCTACCTGGACTGGAAGTGGGTTGTCAACATTGCCCTCTGACGCCAAGCAAAAGCAATTAGAGCAACAGTATTATAATGCAATCCATTTACCAGTGGGTTCCTGAGTCATTATGCCCTAATATAATAAATTCCACATTCTTACAAGCTAAGTTTCTAAACACATATTAGACACTACCAGAGTGCAACTTATAGCCTTCCAGCGTATTACCTCAACACACACAACCTTACCTACAAATCTTCCAATTCCTTCTTTATATTCCTCCATGACCTCCTGAAGCTCTACCCTGCATTCAAACATAGATACACAGATTATTACAACTAATTCATCTTTGAACGAAGGTATAGCAAGAACATTCAGCTCACATTTCCAATACAAGTTGTGTTCTGGATAAAATACGATCAACTTAAAATTGCTGCCATGCAATTTTACCACAGGACATAAAGCCATCCATGCCTTTAGGGTTTCAGATTAAACTATGGTTAAATATTAAAACTGCAGGAGAAAACAGATCCTGTGAAGCAAATCTGCATTGGTTTCTAATGGCCAAATGGGAGTAATTAAAATTGCAATTTTGCCTTAAAAAGACTAAATTGTGTGAGTCTTGTCTTCTCTATGTCTTAATGAAACACCCAACTGAAAGTGTTCTCCAGGAACTCAATCCATACATTATTTAAGCATGAACTACAAAGAGGTACAGAGAATGACTCTCATCAGCTACTATACAATTATGAAGTCCTCTTCTGTAATTGCTGCCAGATCCTAATCTAGTATCAGTGCTGTGTATCTCACCTTTTTTTTTAATGTGCTTTTATGCCTCAGGTTTTTAGATTGTTTTGACTTATTTATTGGCATGTCTTTATTATCTGTTCTTATTTATTTATTCTACTAACTTAGCTTGTTTAATTGTTTAATTGTGTGATTGTTTTATTACTTTGATTGGTTTTTATTACTTTAGTCATGAGTGAGCAAGTCTGGAGAAGCAACATATGAATCAAATAAAATAACTCTTCACAGGAGGGAGCAGCAATTTCTGCTGGTTCCCTCCTCCCTTGCAGATTACCACTTTGTTCTTTGTGCTGTTCCTCAGGGTCTGCTGACCATCAGGAACAAAATTTCAGCAAGGGTATTAGTGGGCTGCAAAAAAGTCCTGCTCTGCTAAATCCACAGATAGCTGGATACAAGCTGGTATAAGGCTCTTTTATTTCAACAGGGATACTGCATCAGTGGTTCTGGGTTGCAAAACTGGAATAGAGAGCTTATTCTTCTCATCACCTTTTGATATTTTTAGATTATGTGTATGAAAAGAAAGTCTCTTACAGATTGATAATCTAGTTTAAGACAAATTTTAAAAGGAGATGGAAGAAATAACATATTACTATGTTTTCATCTAGATTTTTTATTTTGTTTTGAAGGTTCCCTTTTGCACTCTAAACAAAAAAATTAGTAAACATTGAACTATACTGAGTAAGGAGCATTATATCATAGGCAAAACCCTTTTTAAATGACAGAGAGATTGATTTTAAAGCATATCTCTTAAACACACATAATTGGTTGCAGCTCTTTTGTCTACTTCTTCAAGCAGAAGCTAATGAACCCCTGCTTTGGCAGAAGAAAGCTTCACTCACAGGGCTGGAAATGGAAGTTGTGCAATAACAGGAACATCTTTGACAGTCTCCAGAGTGTCATGGGTGAGGTGTGGTGCTGATCCCATTTTGGTATAAAGCAGACAACCTGGAATGTCCATGTGCTGAATCCCTTTCTTGCCTAGGTTTGTCAGCATGCCGAGACGACATCCACCAGCCACTTTGGAGACACTCAACTTCATCTTCATGAACACACCTGAAAGACCACCATCAATGAATAATTCACAATGCCATCTTTATTCTGCAGTAAATGCAGTATCTCACCCCACACTTATGACATGGAACCATATTTTAGTTTTTTCCGACTTCCAACTTTAATCCAATTTCTGTGGACACACTTCCCAAAACGGCAGCCACCTTAGTCTGTTGTAGCAAAAAGGTCAAAGGTATGATCCAACAGGAAGGTATCCACAGCAAAAATACAGAAATAAGAGGGAGCTGTGAAAAAGAATGGAATTCCCTGATAGGTTGTACCCTAGACTGCAGCATTCACTTTTGCTGGCAAAAGTCTATGTCATCATATAGCGAAGTTGAACTAAAAGAGTAAGATATTGGTTGAAGGAAGAAAAGCAATAAGGTACCCCAAAACACAGGTACATTTGCATTTTTGTGTAATTCACAAACAGGGGCTAAATGAAAACACCCTAAACAGACCCAGAATATTTTAGGGAGATGTGAGAATAAAGAATATTAATTCCAGAATACTTGAATTGAATGGCACCATTCTATATTTTTTGTTTCCATACCAAGAGACAGCAGCAGCTTTCACACAGCCCATGACAGAAAGTTTTATAGATAACTATGCATTGTATGGGGGAAAAGATTGTTTCTTGCTACCTTAAAATTATCAGTTTGAGACTATCAGGTCTGACACAAAATATTATCAGTGTGAGATTATCAAATCCAACACAAAATAAAACATAACTCCAATGTGGACAATGCACACAGGCAGTTGTGCCCACTGTAAGTAAACTTTGTGGTCTTCTTACTCTGCAAATTAATACTCCTTACATGATGTTGTAGAGAAATAATCATCCTGCTTTGGCAGGAAGAGCG